GACCAGGCCAGGGTTAACTACTGGAAGACATCTAACCAGTGCATTTATGGCGCCCTATGTGATTCGTTGAGGTTGAAAATCACTCAGTTGTTCATTTTACAGGTTTAATCATCAGGTGTTTCTCTAAGCTCTTGGCCATTTTATTAGCTGTCAATTTAAATAGGTCAAAAGTGTTATTATGTTTTCTAGGCCTCGTAAACTATGAGGAAGCTGAGTAAACAAACTTTTACGCTCCTACTTCATTCTAAATGACTTCCGAAAACTTTTGTAGTTCTCATCTTTGTTAAATTTTATTTTGGTTGCATTGTCGCTATTTCGAAAAAGATGCAAAACGTCAAAAAGCAAGAGGTTACACGAATCTTCTTCGTTGCAAGTTGGCCATCATCCTCTGATGAAGGATAGTAGAAACCGTAACTACAAAGTGCCGGACATGTCGTTTTAGTTATTCGAGTTTGCTTTCATCATCTACGTGCCTCCACTTTTCTCTTATTCTCTTCTCTTTGTTATCTTCATTCTTTCGCGTCTTTTTTATCTTTTTGTTTATTTCAGATTGTATATGGACGTTTATCAACGAACCGTAAAAATGAGCACCTATCTGTTGGCGGTCGCAATTCTTGACAATTACAGTTATGTTCAAGAATGGACAAAAAACACCAACCGTCCAATAAAGGTTTTTATGTCATTTTACTTTTTGTTATTACTTTAGAACGCCGATTTTTTAAATTCTGCAGTTGCTTCAGTTTCGGTGTTATCTTTAAGTCAGTCAGAACATAAGAGCCTGTCATACCATTTGATCTTTGTTTATAAAGAAGGTGGTGTTTTGTTGGAGGACAGTAAGCCCTGGTTTTTGCTCGAGCATTTTCTTTATTTGGAATTTTGAAACATTAACTAGAATCTTGCATTTCCAGATTGCGATATAAGGTTACAGATTGTGGTGTTGAATGTTGAGTCGAGTCGAGTTGAAGGTGCACTTCAAACGCAGTGCTTCCTGTGTTTCTATGTTGACTGCTGGATGTTAGCAGTCGGTTTCAATGTGTTGTCTACCTACTGCTGTATTAAATTATTGTACAGCTTATAGTCTTTTTATGTGTAAGGTCACCTCTGTTCCGCTTCCCGTTTTTCTGTTGGTTATCGCATGAATGAATGGGTTATGTCTCCGCTCGTTCATGCTGTGTTCCAGAGCTCTCTAGTTGCTCTGTGCTCTAGGAGGACAAGAAGATCGTCGAATTTCTTGCTCGTAGTTCTCTTGAAGAGCAGTGGTTTTTCCGTTTTGCTGGTGCACTTGTTTGATTTTTTGTAAACTGCGATGCTAACGTCTCGTATCTATCAGATGCCGTCACTATGGTGGTAATCCAGCACGTCCTTGCATATGCGACAGTGCCTTGATTTTCATCACTGGCTCAATTCGTAGTTACAGATCTGCTGTTTCACTAGTGTGAAGAAAAATAGTTTTCGGTTGGTTCTTTCCATGGCACGTACTGGAAACGTAAAATCGACTGCACGCATGGATAAAGCGATCGTCAAGCAGTTCTATCCATCAATGATTTGAATTTGTTTGAAATTGCACCGTTCATCCCTTAAGTCGCATCTTCTTTTCCTTTCCCACTAGCCTATTATTTCACGTTCGTTGAGTAATATCTAGACATTTGTTCCTTACGAAGCATAATCCGCTACATGAGCTGAGCAACGTCTTCAATAATTTTGAATAGCTAGGAACATCTTTCATAATACTTCTCTTACAATTTTTTAGACATCCTTTTTAGGTAAGCATTTTTGTGCAATCTTTACGAATACTTCCTCTGCTCTTCCTTTCTAATACGTCATTCATAGCATGACGTATTGGTGTAGGCTCAGTCATCAAAGCTTTGGAAGCAAAGTACAAATTTGAAAGAGTGGTGAGACCAAACACATTACTGCGATCTGCGTTTGTCAAGTCTTGATAAATTCAGAGAGCTGAAGGGCACCATGCCTATTTTTATTTCCATTTACTTTATCATAGAGATACCACCCCCACCGCACACGTGTGCACCGTGGATGTGATGCTAGTCGTCGATTATGTTGGTGCTGATAATACTACTTTAAGCTAGAAGTTGTTCATGAACTCAGACTTGAACACATAAAGCAGAAAACATTCAGTTTTCTGTATAAGTGATTGGTTCTGCTGAGTTCTTCCAAGGAAGGACTCTTTCTCGTTAGTACTTCAAAAGTTAGGAATGTTTCTACTCTTCCGTGTTCTTTCCCCTTCTGTTCCCAACTACCTCCTCACCTACTTCCGAAAATGATTACATTGTTCAAGCTGTGGTGTACAGTTGTAAAGTTACGACGAGACGATCCTTTTTTGAGAGACCCTGTTCTTGATTAAAATTATGTGTTGACTACAAGGCCCTAAAATTTCGGTAGTGGCAAGTGTGATAATAGATTCGTCGTTTACTTTCTCAGTAATCGCGAGGTTGTTAAACAGCATACTTTTACTTCCATACACAACACACAACACAGCCGTAGCTGACGTTCCGGCAGAATCGCCTTCTTCAGAGTCTGGAAGGAACACTAATACGCAACTTACTGGATCAAACGCTTCAACAGCACAAACAGAAAGATGGAAATCCAACCGATAATTACAAGATCTACAGCTTCTCGAAAAACCCGCCGTTTTTTATCTGCTTTCCACCAGGAAGAACAGCCGCTTAGAGTCGCATATGGTTAACGACTGCACAACCCCACATCAACGATCGATAGGAAGGTACGGGACGAGATCACGTCTGATTTCGGGGCATTTTTCCCCGCTATTCATTGTAGGATTTTTGGCATATATCCAAAAAGCCTCGAGGTGTCTGCGCGTTGGTGTTTTAGTATTCCGTGGGAGGAGAGCGACTTATACATCAGAATCGTCTCCGCTATGCTTTTGTATCCCAGGCGTCCCTAGTGTCGTACCTTACCTTACTTTTCGTTTGCCATATAAGCGCCCTTTTATGCGGATACATAAAGGACTGCTCGTTTCACCAATATGTTCGTCTTCGCGAGTACCAAGCAAGCAAGTGAAGAAGGCGATTCTGCCGAAACGTCGGCTACGGTTGATTACATGATATAATAACAAAATATGTAAATCAACGTCAACTTCATGAGGAATTAGTGTAGCCAGAATAAAATTGCGGAGAAGTTATTTATTTCCGGGAAAAACCCTTTAAATAGAATTCATCAAGGTTTTTTAAAAAAAATTTTTGCTTTTGGTTCAACGTTTGATAGAAGTTGTAAAAAGTTCCCATCAACATCCCGCCAGGTACATGGATCTGTACTCTGTTAATTTAATGTAGTGAATTCCAACGTTAACCTTCTATTTGCTGACAGCTATGTTTTTTTACTGTAGAGTATGATGTAAAATACAATCACAATGATGTTAAGATATTCAGAAAACTAGGACCCCGGGTCCGACCGAACCACGGTAACCTTTTACGGGGTATCGCGCACTACACACTGAACCACTGAGGCCATTGCTTCGCCTTTCTTTCAGTTAAATGCACCCAAGATCCAGAACTTCAGAGCTGTAATGTGTAAGACGCGAGTTCCCGGAAAGGGTAGATGTGGTTCGATCCGGCCAGGGGTCCAACTTTTGCAAAATGAATTTCCAACAGATTTTCACCTCATCCATGGGCTTTCCTTCCTCCTAAATATTTGAGGTCAACAGAAGTATAACAATTTTAGACGTTTTATTCTTTCAAACTCTGAATTCCGAGCCTTTTTCTAGTTACTATTCCTCTCGTTTAACTTGTGCCACCCTTTCAAACGCACTTTTAATTTCTGCTGAAAACAATTCACGAGTTTTCGTTCCATTAAACTTTTCGGTTTTACATTTTCCTTCTGTATGTCCTACTCAATTAGACCACTCATTTTTCCTACAATGGCTCGTAGTCATTAATTATAGGCTGGAGCAAAATTTTTAAAGTGGTTTTATGGAGAACCTAATCTTTTCCTCAGTGTCCTAACCACGCTTTTTAGAATTTTGTGAGGCGGTCACCAGTTTAGTCGCTCTACTTTGTGGATTGAGAAAAATGTTTTCAGCGCTGTTACTGGCTTTCTGGGAGGGTAACGGTTAATTCTAGCATTGCCTTGTACCGTGGTCTGCGGGTGCCGGACCCGAATTTCGCTTGGATGATTCTGCTTCGGGATGAATCATTATAAACCGCAGTCCAAGATCCAGGAACATCGCTGACCGTTGTCAAGCAAGAAACGGTACTAGAATCCTGCGTGTTACACAAGAGATCATACGAGAAACCTGAGTAGATTAATATATTAATTTGTTATAGGGTGTAGTGCGGTGCTTAAAGGTGCTCTGCAATATACACAGGTTCCATTCCACGCTCTGGGCTATCGAAGCCTTCCCTCCATCCGGGGTCGCTAAATTAGTACCAGATCTGTCTGAGAGCACTGCAGTACTGATTTTATAGATCGTTAGTCCACGGCGAGTCATTCTGTGAACTAGATATGCATTCAATCACAACTAACTCTACTTGGTGAAGTCGAATGTATGACGCATCCATCAGGGATTGATCAAAGTTGAAATTTTTTTAATATTAGTGCGTGCCTTTGAGAAGAATTATTTTCTACTATGTGCGAATGTTGTTAAAAAAAGTAGCACATCTTCATGATGACTAATTGTGGGCAATAGTGCGGGCTTCACCGTTGATGGCCCGATCCCGCTCATTGTGTAACAAGTCCCTATCGCTCAGAAGTGGATGAATGGGCATTTTTGTTTTCTAGGAGGATAAAAACACTGAAATAATGCAGACTCCATCAAGGCAATGTTTAGGTCAAATATCAGCTAAATACCTTCATGACGCTTAATAGTCGAATGCATGGCGTCTTCCTAACGGACTACTAGATTGGCCAACGCCGAACACTATATCTTTTTATCCTTACTTCCTATGTCGCTTCCAGGCTCATCCGTGGAGACCACGGATAATAAACTTGTTAGGATTCAGGTGAGAGTGTATGCGCCTCAGGACATGATCGAGGGTCAATCTGAATTTGGCCTGGACACGGCTATTCGTGCACTCGAATATTTTGAAGAATACTCAAACATACCATATCAGCTAGAAAAGATCGGTATGTTTTTGTTGAGTAGATCCTATTGAAGAATCACATTACCAAGAACGAACATATTTCTTGGTGTGTTGTTGTACCTAGCACTTTTAAAAGCTATCCCGTAAAGCTATCTATGTAAGTAGTGGTAGGCAAAAAACGCCGAGCTCAGTCGCCCACCTGCTCACCTAAGGTCTCTGATCTACCAGAGCCTTTCTTTCGTCAGAGGTTGATGAACTGTTTGCAACCAGCTTGGAGTGGGGGCAAAGCTCCGGTTCATTCATTTATCAGCTTTCAAAATTATCGCTCGAAACACAACAGATTTTATAAGCAGACAAGATTTTCCCAACCATATGGTTGAGAATTATTTTGTGCAGTGAGCAACGATAATAAGCAAGCTTGTAGCTCTAATAGACATCGATAAGGCAGGTGTTAATCTGTGTAAAGGAATATAATGGTTGGCGGTGGCTGGTTCCACTAGAATTCTCCATATGAGGAGTAATGTTTTCATTGGAAGGTTTAAGAATGGTCATGTGCTTTGCTTAATAGAGGAATGATCACCTGCTGTTAAACAGGAGACGAAGATTGGTCAATAATGAAGTAGTAAGGTAGCCATAAAGGAAGGGACGACGTTTCCCGTAAACAAGATCGAAAGCATTCAACAGAAAAGTGCGGATTTGGAACACGACTTCACCACATAGGACTTTGAATTGATTTGCTGGTGCCACAGGCGATGTATCCAGCAAAATCGTCTTCAATCGTACTGACAAGTGTAGATGATTGGAAAAAGAAGTGGTCACCAACGCATAATTCAACTGGGGTCGGCTGAATTTGTAAGTGAAATGAATATGAAGTGTATTGGAACCACCGTAATGGCTTGGGATGGCCAAATAAGAGTCGAAGTAGTGGGGAAGAGACGATGTTATAGATAAACGCTGTTGTTGTGTTATTTACAAATGAATATGTTCTTAATGAACGAAGCACCGTCGAATGTAGGATATTGCTGCCTCAAAAGTATTCAACAGAACTCTTCATAAACCACACCGTTTCCGCACACCTGATCTTCATTCTTGTACACGACTATGGAAAATTACTGACTTGGATTGAATAAGAATATGAGAGTGAAACTTTGTTTGGATTCAGTGAAATCGGGAAATTTACAGACTTGGTGGGATTGGACGATTTTCAATCAGGCGCCATGGAAAACTGGGGACTGATGACATTTCGTTACGCCGGACTGCTCTATGCTGATGGCATAAAAATTGCTAGGCAAAAGGAGCAGGTTGCACTCGTAATCTGTCACGAAGTCGCCCATCAGGTAGGCTAGTGAAAAATTATAGTTGATTCTGTTCTTCTTAATCGATAATTTCTTTCTTCTAGTGAGATAGCCTAGAAGATTGAGTGTTCCTAAAATATTCCATCGCAACAGTGTTTTTTGTTTATTTTGAAGACCTACCAGAACGCTTAGATTTAAGCGAACTGAAGCTCATTGTCCAAACAATCCGTGAGAACTTCTCACTTGTAAGGAAATGAACAGTGAATGAATAGTCTTAACCTTTTTATTTACTGTCTAGTATAATTCTTAACAGCAGGGTATCATGTGAAATACAACTCAGATGTAGCTGAGATATTTGCGAAACTCCGGACCGCAGGTGTCTGCAGTGGGGAACGAACGTGTTATTGTCCTTTCCGGGGAGTAACGCGTTCACCACCACACCATGCGGGTCCATCGTTTCGCCTGTCTCTTAGTCCCGTTGACGGGTGATTGCTTATGGCGCCGATCGATAGAACTAGCTGAGAAACAGGCGAAAGGACCCGCATGGTGTTGTGGTGAACGCATTACTCCCAAGAAATGAATAGTGTTTAATGGTTCGCGATGTAGTCACGATGTTTTATTTTCAGTGGTTTGGTAACCTGGTGACAATGGACTGGTGGAACGATTTGTGGCTAAACGAAGGTTTTGCTACCTACTTTCAGTTTCTGTGTGTGGATCGATTGTATCCTGAATGGAATATAGTAAGTGTAATTTATGGGGTTTATGAATACTCTGAAAATTTATGTAGTTGTCCAATGTCAGATTTGCCTCGGCAAAATCCTGAAGATGGCGCTCTATGCACTATTGTGGCGATGGTTTTTGAAATGGAAATTTTGCATACTCTCGAAAACTTCAATTGGTTTAATTGCGATGTTTTAATTAATCCTTACTTGCTGCATTCTATTTTTCCACAGCACAGTAGGATATGAACTAAAACCACATGAATGCTGACACTTGAGCAAGAATTGCAACGTTAGGTGCGTTACGAAACCGCAATCACCCTTCACGGAAACTCACGCGCTATCCACTATACCAACCGAAATCCTTGTTCGGTCAGGATATCTCAGCCTTTTTTGCTTAATAAATGCTACCATCGAGTTGTGCTTATATCTCGCCCTCCTCGTGAATGTACGCCACACCGTACCCAAGTCAAAAAAAGTAATAGGCAGTGAATGGAAGATGAGACGTCATAATTTCAAATGTAGCTGCAGCTAAGCTGGGTTCGATGCCGATTGGGAAAGGCCAGATATTTTTAGTTGACTTATCGATAGCATCGTTAAAGTCAAAATGCAGCTGAGAGGAAGGCAAAGCAAGAGCGTCGGTTTGTGTGTTGGATTGAACGTGAGCACGGGTAAAGGTAATGGCGGGTTCCAAGAGTAAGTGAGGTTCGGAGTTTTGCTCATGTCTTAGCATCCTGATGATTTAGTGATGGCGAACAGTTCGCATAAGTGTCGCTATTAGCGCTGTCAGATGAAGAAACAATGTTTGATAAATTACTACGAAAACTATGAATAATCGTATTTAATACTATCAAAGGAGTGTTTTGGTTAGATGACACAATTCTATGAGAAGAGCGTAATACCAAGTCACGGAGCAGACATACTACGCGGTTCACGTCCCGTCTCCAGTCACACCTTCAAAATATGGTCACTATTTGACGTTATGAGCTACCAAAAGGTGGGAAAACTTCAGAATTTCTGTTAGAGAGCAAGAACACGTAAGACTGCCTTTATCATCTCTTTTATCACAATAGATAAGGTTCACTACAACGTGAGGTATTTTTATTCTGTACTGGATCCTTTATGTGAGTGACTTCGTTCTTATGGCCTGTTACGCAGGTCTTCTATTTTCGTGAACTTATCTAATTACGCCTTTATATATAAATAGTATTATTGTAAGAGTAACATAATAACAATATCAGCAGCAACAACAACAAAAGGATTGAAACGATTACATGAGAGCAAGAGGAACTACAGCAATGAACTAATGTATTACTATAAGCGAGAAACGGTGAATACGTACAAATATTGCCAAACTAAGAGGTTTGGTTATGTGGAGGGGAAAAAAGATTTCAGAAGGAATGGGTCTACCTCTACCTAAAATCAATTCTAATGTGCAGTTTGGGAATTGGTGGATTTCATGAACCCTTGAAATGACATGTCGATGAAGGTTGCAAAGTGCATACAAAGCACAGTAACACACAATAATGAATAATGTATATAGGGGCAAATGTAGCGCAGTGGCTAGAGGCGCGCTACCGTACACACGGGATCGGTTCCACGATCCAGGCTCACTAAGCCTTTCATCCCTTCGGGGTCGGCAAATTTGTACCACAGTTGTCAGGGGGGGGAAGGAGTACTGCTTCTATACATCGGTAGATCACCGCGAGTCATTGTGTAGGCTCACTTCTAACGATGCTCAATGAAGTCAAATGCCATTATTTTTTTTGCCTATACCGTTGTGAATCGTTCTGAAAAATCCCATACAGCTGGCATTTATTATCAGCAGTGTTGGCTATGTTGCAATCACCTGTATTACCTGTAGTCCCGTTGCTCGTCGAGTGACTCGAGCGGGCGCCAGCAAATCTTCCATTTTTCCCTGTCGTGTGTAAGAGTAACCCAGTGTGTTATGCTCACTATAGGGACTCGTAGAGTATCATATCTTTATTCAAGGCTCTTTGAGAAGAACAATGACCATCGAGTCGGTGGTCTTCTTGCAATGCGTTAAACATCTCGAGGAATCCAGTCACAAACGGCTCTTGTCCATCGGTTGTCATTCGTACGCATTATGTGTCCGCTCCACCTTATCTTCGACTGTTTGGCGTACAGAACGGTATCTTTGATTTTTGATCGTTGACGCAGATCGGAGCTTCTGATCCCATCCTCTACTTGTGTGAAACGGGATACTCCTAGCATCGTCCTTCCGACTGCGCGATCGATAACGCTGAGTGACTTTTCATCCTGCTTACGCAGTGACGAAGTTTCTGACGCATGCGTTAGAGCAGGAAGTACCGTTGAGTCGAAAAGGTGGGCACGGAATCGGATGTTCTTGGTTCTCTTCACTACATCCTCGATGCTCTTGAAAGCTCCCCAAGCCGCTCGTTTCCTTCCGCTCAGCTCTGGAGCTAGGTCCTTCATCATATTGATTTTCCGACCTAAACAGATATAACTAGAGCATTCGGAGATATTCGTTCCCTTGAGCATGAATGGGGCATGCGAAACCAATCCGTTCTTCATGAACATCGTTTTTGTGAGATTTAGTCGAAGACCAAATCGAAAGATCTTTCCACAGGCTTTATCAAAGTCGTCAAGCATGCGTTCCGCTTAGCTAATGCTTGGTGTTATGAGGAAGACGTCATCAGCAAAGCGAAGATGGTGTAACTGCGGGCCACCGATTTTCACTCCCATACTATGCCATTCCAACGTTCTCATGACGTTCTGGAGTGTGGCGGTAAATAATTTTGGCGAGATGGTATCGCCTTGCCTAACTCTTTTTTTGACGTCAATGTTAATATCGTTGTAGAATGATGATACCTTGGTTGTAAAATTTTTCTACAGCTCACTAAGGATCTTTATGTACTGAGCAGAGAATCATTGACTATCAAGGGCTTTCAAGACTGCTGCTACCTCAGCTAAATCAAAGGCGTTCTGCAAATCGATGAAAGTGAGACAGAGCGGACTTTTGTACTCTCGCAATATTTCAGTGAGTCTTGTTACCGCGTGGATGTGTGCCATCGTACTGAATCCTTTTCGAAACCCTGCTTGCTCACATAGCTGTCCTTCGTCTAGTGTTCTGTCAATCCCGTTTAGGATGGTCACCCTTCTTGAACAATAACACCGTTTTGCTCGTTTTCCACTGAGTACTTCTTGCATTCAGACAGGTAACGTGTGAAGAGCCAAGCCAGTGTGTTTACGGCGATTGGCGGAAGGTTCTTCATGTGTTCTGGTCTTATCTTCTCCGGACCTGGTGCTGCTCGACTTTTAGCCGACGAAATGGCATGCCGGTTTTCGGAAGGGACAACGTGTTTTACGACATATCCATCCTCCTCTATTTCGTTTGACGAAAAGTGGACGTGGATATTGAAAAAATCTAAGTAGTATTCGTAATTAATTTTCTCCATTCCCTTTCTTCACGCTCTAACTGTTCCGTCTGAGCGTCGGAGTGCAATCATCTTGGTATTGCAGTCGGCGGAGCTTCGATTGGCGTTGCGAATGTCTTTCTCAGCCTCTGGAGCTTCGAACATAACTGGTGCTCTTCTGTCTTCAATATCTTTTTTGTCGCTTGTCCGCATTGTTTTGCATGTTCTCACGTTAGTTGATAGTTACCTGCAGCTCGTGCGATTCCACGCTGGTATATCAACTTGAGAGTTTCTTGCGTAAGACAAACGTCTTAGTGGCTTTCGAACTCTCGGGTCTCATAGCAATGCCGTGAAGACGCTGATTGAGCCGATCGTATTCTTCGTTGATGTTATGGAGAACGGCATCTTCCTCGCAGTCAAATAATGAACTGAATAAGTCCAGCACTACGGTGGTTTTCGGACTTCGTTTTTTGAATTTAGCACCTTTTTCTCCTTTACGCGATGAATTAAATCGTGCACGGAAGAGAAGATGGTAGGATCCTCTGTAGAATTTTGAGACAACAGCGACATCGATTAGGCAAAACCTTCTATTTACTATGATGTGGTCTATTTCGTTATGGTACTCTCCAATGAGAAACTCCCGCGTCCAGCGCTAAGGCTGGGGCTTCTGGAATTGTGAGTTACCATGGATTGTCTTGGTCGCCATGATAAACTCAGATAGCCGCCCACTCTGTTCGTTCTATTCTAATCCGTTGGTGCCAATATGATGTTCTTCAGAGGTTCTTCTTGGTTCAATCTTGGCGTTGAAATCTCCAATGATGGCCTTGGAGAATGTGCTGCCTTCTCTGTAGAACTTCAAGTCCATATAGGACGCTTCGACTTCTTTTTCGTCATAGTTTGATGTCGGCGCGTAAATGACGAAGGTTGCCAAAGCTAGTATTGATCCACATCTTTTTAATCGTAAACGTCCGATTCGGGTTGTACGTTGTTCGAATGAATCGATGTTCATGGACAAAGTCGGGTTGACGAGAACCGCCGACTCCTCTACTGTCGCATGTTCCGAGGAACAGTTCTTCTCCGGTGTCATAGACGGCATTGAAAAGTTGGCGTCTTCTCGTCTCGGCTAGGCCGACGACGTTGAACCTTATCCTTCTTGCTTGAATGAGCAAGTATCGAGGACTCGGATGCAAGTGTACGTGCATTGTAGGCACAGATCGTCACCGTAGTTTTTTGTAGTCCACGCAGCTTTCATTGGCCCTAAGATTTTAGCGGCCTCTCCTTACTCGTCCTACCCAACGCTGCGAAACTGGGGGCTCTTTCGGGGACATGGGAATGAAGCCCGTTTTTTTTGCTGTGTTTAGCATTTTTGATATGATCACATTTCATTGTCCTTTTTTCGACTAACTCCTTAGTAGTAACAGAGATGCGGTTCGATCTTCCTCTCTGAGGAGCTAAGGGGAGTTCAAATTTTAAATCCTCCAATAACCAGCTTGTAGTTCAAGGTGATCTTTTCGTTTACCCGTCAGTCATATAAGAGAGGCGTTATTGAAAATATTCATGTTTTGTTCGGATTTCGTTGGACGATGAAAGGAGTTCGTTTCCGACTTATAGCGTAATCGAGTCTTCTCAGCGAGAAGCGGTGATAAGATTCAGCACAGTTGCTAGGTACCATTGAGGTGTCAAAGACGCACCACTTTCTGTTCGTGAGAATAATAATGGATCTCCGCATGAGTTGTCCCGGTAAAAGTACCCTATCTGCATCGGTGATTCTCTCTAATCTCGAAAGTCAATTCGCACGAAAGAGGCATGCTACGGACAGGGGACTTGCGAGACGGTTTCCACTTTCATTTCGTCCTCCTATTCCGTGTTTTCCTATTTTGTATTTATTTTCGCTGGTCGTTCCTATTCTGATGGTGAAGTCTCCGGCAAAAAATTTATAGAAGGACTTTCTCGTTTTGGATTACTTCTTCCAACTAGTTGTAAAACGTTTCCACTTCGTTCTCATCGACTGCACAAATTGGTGAGTAACAGTTAATGACACTAACTTTTTTTGATATGGGACTAGGGAACGATAATTGTTCAAAGCGCTGGTAGAATTTCGCATGAAGTGACCTAATGACAATTGATGGGTGTACAACATACACCTCGGACATTCCACAGCGAAAAATTCGGTCAGCGAATGACAAGGGTTCCAGTTAGCCTATAACGGCCATCCTGCTTTTCGTGTCTCAAGAAGAGTATAATGCTCGGCGCCTTAAGGGACTGTTCTGGTGTTATAGGTGTACAGCAAGAGGCAGTCGCCACGGCATGCCATGAGCGTGCTCGTTTTCTTGTCCGGTGAACCTAAGATTTAATCGCCTCTCACCGCATATCCCTGTGCATGGTAGCGCCCAATTCGCAGGGTACTAAGGGTGGAGCCTCTCTGGTTTAGCAAATGTGGTTCCTTGGAATTCCAGGCCTATTCCTACCTAGGATTCTGGATGAAGACTACAGATTTGTTCTCAGATTGGAAGTCTCTGCTGGGTAAAGAACTCACATCTGTTTATCGCAGTCCGACACCCAGGAATACTTCTCAGCCAGGTATAATATTTGAACGCATAAAAATAAGATACAAAGTCATGTGGTAATATCAAAAGTGTGAGCCTTATGCGAAGTATAATTACAATGAAGTTGAGATGTTTATAAAGTCTATTTGTGTTTTCCAGATTATTCCCACTGATAGGCGATTGGTGATAACGCCGTTAGGATAGAATATAGATAAAAAGATAAAAACTGGCTGGGAGACTGGCGATGCAGGGGCCTCGATAGTCCAGTGGGAAGCAACGGAAAGCAATTGAGATTCCAGAAACGTTAATCACTGGGTGAAGATTGGCCTGGAGTGGGGTTTTCCAAACATCTCAACAACATTTTGGTTGTATTTCACATGTTAGCCTGCCATAAAAAGTAATAAAGGGTAAAGCTCCCGACGTTGATCAATCCGTGAGGGATGCGCCATGCATTCGACTTCATTAAACATCGTTTGGAGGTGATTGAATGCATATCCGGCCTTTAGAATACTCGCCATGGCCTACCGTTGTATTGAGCCAGCGCTGTTATCCTTCGAGACAAGTTTGGTACTAATTTGCCGACCCCGAATCGATGGAAGAGCGGGGTTCGATTCCACGTATGTCGTGCAGCGCGCCTCCGAACATTGCGCTACACGCTCCCAAAAAAAGTAATAGGCAGTAATAAAAGTTAAGTAGACTGAATATTCTTTTCGAAGAAAACGAAAAGTCTTAGTGACCGTCTTTTTCCAAACAAAAGAAATGGCATTAAGATCTAGCCCTTGAAATGGAGAGTAAATGTTTGTTGATTTGATGTTCTTGCAGTAATGGTGAAGGTGATGATGGCAAGGTTTTTTCGTCCCAAGCTTCAGCATTTAATTAATTTTGGGTTAAGGCACGGTTTTCCAGTAAGTTTCAAGTGACGAATCGCCTTCGAACTGCTGCTGGGCACAATTTATTCATCTTCTGCTGTTTACATTTCACTCATCGACAAAAGAACTAAATTTCTTTGAAATACAAGCGACAATTTTGCAGGCGTCTGTGATCATACGAATGGTTGAATCCTTGGTGGGTAAACGAAAGTTCCGGCTGTCACTCATCGAATACCTTAACAAATACGCGTACGCTAACGCAAAAGGATCAGATTTGTGGGAAATCGTCGACAAGGTTGGCATAAGCTGCTGTATTCGTTCCCTCGAATCGTTTTCATCTGCTCAAATACTGTAATGTTTTCCAGCTTTTCCCTGTCATCACCTCATTTCTATTTTATAAAAGTAAAAGCCGTAAATACACAATATCATGTAAAGGTAATGTAAAGGTACAAAACAATTTTAAATAAAGAATAGTGTCGAGTGCTCAACTGATGTCAGGTAGAAGACGAATGAATAGGGTCCTGACCAAGCTAAATCCCGTCTTAATGCATCCCATTCTTGATTTCAGCACGCCGCTCTTCATGGAATTTCCCTTCAAAATGTGGTAAACGCTTACATCAAGCAGGCAGGATGTCCGGAGATTTTTGTCACGTTGTCTGACATGGAGATCACCGTACACAATCAGGTCAGTAAGCGTTTTGTTAATTTTCCGAGATTTTTCATGAAGCGGGTCTTTGTTAATCGGATCCCACTAGGTAGCGAGGGATAATCTGAAAAGTAGAAAGCCGTACTGCAGAGTTTAATCTTGTGCTGCGGCAGTCCTTCGACATTTTCAACTGCCGGTTGCAAGTCAACACGTAAAAATGCTGCATTGCCATATAAAGGAAAAACACTAGCTACTTGGAAATGAAATATTACAACAAGAAGAAGGAGTAAAGAACTTACTCTAACGTCGAATTGAAAATTGGAAAAAATTACTTAGGATAAAAAATTACTTAAGATGACTAGTAGTTCGTGAGAGTAATGAGTTGTTTTGAGTGTGATCTTAGCGAAATTGCTCAGTATCTAGACTCGTCATTTCATACACGGTGGAATGCGAGACGACGACACCAAATGGACGATTCCCATACATTATCGAACCAATAGTCAGCCTGAGTCGCGATTACAGTGGATGAGGGCCAGCCAAAACAAAGGTAAGTTTTAATGATGACATAGGTGGGCTACAAAACGCACCTGGGAATGAACATGGGATCTACTCAGCGGGTAGTGGATGAACAGAAACCATCGTGTAATAATACACTATCTCCAAAAATGTATTGTAATTGTGTCTCAACTACTTGGCAAAAGTGGAGGAGAATCCTTGCTTTACTTTTTCTTTACTTACTTACTACTGTATTGTTATATGACATGGACAATGCTTTTTGAACTTAAAGTTAAAGGCTGAAGACTTGTAGCAATTTCTTTCTGGGAATAATAAACTGTTTAAGTATTGACTACCTGTTACCTACTCCATATTCATCATCATTGAATTCATCACGTCCATTCGCTATTCTTCTGTTCAACACCTTGACAATTTCAGTAAGCTGGCCGTTGTTCAAGAGCTCCAAGTGGGTGGTGGCGAACACAGACAGCCTGAGCTACGTTAGAGTACTGTACGACGCAAAAAACTATGCAGAACTTGCCAAACAGCTGCTATCTGATCACACGGTTTGTGCAAAGAGGAGAGATCTAGCGATTCTCATTTATTTATTTAAAGCCGCCAAATGAATTATCCAGTACTGTTATTAAACCGACTTGCAGTTAACCTCAACACCCCTACCAATTTCGCCTTAACCACTTCTATAAGAACGTCATGTCAGCTAAATTATCCAAAGGAGATGACGATCAGCCCCGTTGACGGTTGACTGCTGATAGCGCCAATAGGTCAATGAGACGGCTGAGAGACAGGCGAAACGAAGGACTCGCATGGTGCAGTGGTGAACGCGTTAGCCCCTGGAAAGAGTAATGGCGTATTCGGTCCCACGGCCGACACTAGCGGTCTGGAGTTTTGCAAATGTCTCAGCAACATTGTGATTATCTTTCACACAACACCCTGCCATTAAAACTTAGTAGTTAGCAAATAAAAATTGACGAAAATTCAAAAGAGCATCCTGAATAACCAGATTTTTAATGTATTCATATGATTGAACGCGGTTATTAATAAAAGCATTTTATTTCGGGTAACATTTCGACGCCTTCGCCTTCTTCAGAGTCGTAGTAATCCGAATAGTAGTTCAAATCGGATGTCCACAGCAGTTCTCTCTTCCGTACTGGGTCTTCGTGGTAGCATGCAATTGAATCTAATGGAGTGGAATACCACGCGAATGTTGTTTGAGGTGACTGTGAAAACACAAATCACGAAGAACAACGACTGTTGACTCGATCACATTCGAAACACCGTCGCTCTGAAGAGGGCGGAATCTCGTGGGCTTTCGGAACTATAGTCTTTTCCTGAGCAACCTCATTTAAGCTCATAAATGCAAAGAAAGATAGTTCGCATACACTTTTTTCTGGGCTCAGTTGCAAGCGTAATGGGTCAAATATAAAAAAAACACTTATATGCCTCTAAATCACGCGAAATAATTGTTTCTTCCCTCTCCATTTAGTGAATACAAAACTACAAAGTCTAAGATGTTATATGCCATATAAATTGAAGGGCAACAGTGAGCGTAGTCAGAGGATTTCTGCTAAGCATATGTGGTCATTGGTTCGATTTCTATTATTCTATTATTCTATTAAAATAAATCGTGAATAATAATGAGAGTCTAGGAAAGGGGTATGATAACAATTTATTCCGGCAGCATACAATTCCAGGGCGTAATCTAAAATCAGAACAAATGTTTCTACCAAGTATAGCACATACCCAAGCACGCCTAGTTCATTCTGCTGCATCACAGACAGAAGTTCAAACCACAGGTTGCACTCGTCTTAGAGCAACCACATGGTCGCTTTCAATCCATTGTCATTTCCACTCAACACAATGTGGTGAAATGCCGAGAAAGCTGGCATCAAATCTGTTCGAAAATCGATGCACAGATAAAGATATTCTCTTAAATGGATCGGTATTAAAGGTGTTTTCGGCTGTCGAACGGACAATGATTCTCGTTAATGCGTTCGATTTCGCAATGTCGTCGAAACTTAACATCAAAGCGTATATCAATCTTCTTCAGTATGCCTCAGGTTTCTTCCTTTTGACCTATTGATTACTATGCGGTTTCCAAAAAATGTGTAAGCGATAAGGTTCTAATTTAGAAGAAATGGATTACTCCGTATGGCTGGCGATCAGCGCGCAAATGAACTACATAGATAGCCTCATTCAGGAGACTCCTTTTGTAAACATTTTCAGGGTGCGAGTTCTTTTTGCTTCCTAATGGAATTTTAATGTATAGTTGTTTTCTTAGTAGCAGAAAGTTTTTCTAATGGTTTATAAAGTAAGTGAAATGAAGAATTATAAAAAGCTAAATATGTCCTGCCATTGAAGGAGGACGAAAAAAGACACGGAGTATGGGAAGGAAATGTGCGTACCTCCTATGTCGCACCTACATAGATATTTAGATGACTCGTCTTTACTTCGCTGTTCGCAGAAAATATGGACACTTCTTTGATACATCGATGCATCTCCACAAGCTATTACGTGGGCCACATAAGCAATCAGTCACGTCTACAGTGCTAAAAATGGAATCGAGTTCATGGTGCATCAAAAGGAGATCGATCGTCCAATGCTGAATTCTTCATTTTTCTTGAGCCGCCCTAAGTTCTCAAAATGCGATGTACAACGGCGGATTTCGTCTCCCGGCATGGTCTTCTAAGCTGAGAAGGAGCCCGACGTTTCTATCGGGAAGCCCAGCTAAGAGTGAATCATTACCAGAATCCAGTCATGGTGTGAAACTACTCGCACGGCAAAATCTCCCTCTGATCGATAAGGACTGCGACTACCTGCGGTGGTGACAACCTGGTGCACATTTTGGCCAGGATAACCTCGGGACAACAGGAAACCGCAATGCCAAGGTCAGCAAACCTCGTAAAGGAAAGAACTTGTGCTGGGACCCGCACAGCTAGTGGTGACAGCCGATCATAGTGTCCAAGTATCTACTCTATGAAGCGTATTTAACGCAGTTGTTAGAGGCGCACTGCAGTACACACGTGCCGTCCGTTCGATACCACGATTCAGGCTCACAAAACCTTCCATGTCTTCGCGGTCGAAAAACTGATACCACAGCAACTCCCACGACCGACTTTCTTCCACACACCTCTGCATTGATCAAGTAATTCTTCGTGTTCTTGTTGAGTAAACGCGAGGTGTTATTTTTATTCTTTATTCACGAATAAGCTGACGTTTCGGCGGATTTCGCCTTTCCCCGGAGCCTGGAAAGGTCAAGTTGACAGCAATCTATTCAGCCGAACACCTCCATAACCAAACAAAGAAAAAGAATTAAAGACTATAGACTAGACCAAGATTTCAATCACATTAAACACAGCTTTGCACACTCAGCGCTTTCTACGAGGCTTCCACTGAGTATGTCGCTTGGGGAGCAACCGCACAGAATTCACATGGAACCGTAATGTGCCTCTCCCATCAGAATAACGTGCTTATATACTGCCCAATATCACGCGTGATAATGCGGCAATCTTTCTTGCGATTCATTTTCTGATTTCTGGTATTAATCCAGAACGCCCCGAGAGTTTTGCGCGCTTGTGTTCTCTACTCCTGAACGAGGATTGTAACCCTTACTTCAGAATACTCCCCGTTACGTCTCCGCGTCCTAGGCGTGCATAGTTAAGTGCCTATCTGGTTTACGTTTGCCAACTAGGTGTACTTTTATGCGGACACAGAGGGGTCTACCCTTTTCAGCTAATGTATTCGTCTCTGCAAGCCTTACAGGAGATCAGATAAACTATACCCGAGCTCATGCAATCACCGTCTCTACCACTAGGGCAAATTATGCAATTTTGCGTTGCACAGAGGCGGTCATATAGGCGGTTACGAGCTAGCTGGCGCATAAGATTACTCTGTAGCATTTCAACTACGTTTACCGAATTCTCTAGATCCGCCCTCCTTAAGCAGCGTTTTATAGCTGCACTTACATCATTTGCGATGAAGGGTGGCATAAACAAGACCTTTTATCGCTAGAGTTGTCGTTTGGGGGCTTAAAATTTTTCCTACACCTATCCCGAGCTGCAGTTTCGTAGCCACTAGAAATGGCTATTTGCTGCGCTAAGTTTCTGGACTCCCCTTTCTGATCTCTTCCCGTGCACACGTTGGTTGCTGTTCGAAACATGTTTCTTACAAGCGCTCTTTTCGTGTGATAGGGGTGAGAAGAAAGGTAATGTACCAAGACGTTTTTACTACTTGGCTTTCGGTACCACTTCGTAATGTGGCCATTTTCTGACAGGTTAATTTGGACGTTCAGGAATGGAAGCCATTTTTCTTTCGGTTTCTCTCTGCTGAACTTGTTATACTCTAACTGTTCATCCAACAACTCGAAACATTTGTCCATTTCCTCTTGTGTGAGCAGAGGACAAAATAGTCACCTATATTTCAACAGTAGAGTAGCGGTCTGAGATCGGTTACCGGTGCTTCCATCTTAGACATAAACGCAACGGCAAGGCTTGGAGCCAGTCGTTGTCCCATTGCCAACCCTCTTATTTGAGCGTAGTACTTTCCGGACCATCTGAAGATTGAGCCGCTTAAGCATTCTTTTAAGAGTGCCATCAATTGCTCTATCTTGAAGCCGTACATGTTTATTTCTCCTTCAGATACCACAATTTTCTGGGAGGATAATAGCACTGACATGATATATGGGCAGACCAGCTCTAGTCATTGAATTGGCCAGATATATATTCAGTAATCTCTAAAGATGCTTGGTGAAGTCGAATGTATGACACATCGCTGAAGTTTTGACCATCAATGCCGAGAATTTTACCCTTTATCCTTTTTACTGTTCTCTATGACCTTTTAGAATAACTGTCTCCGTCTCATGTTTCCAATAGCAGAATTTTCACATAAAGGCTAAACTTTCGATAAAAACTGAAAGTATCGTGGAACGGACGGAGACTGTCTGTAACCAACGATGTAATCAACTTCCATTTAAAGTTGCTGACGTTTTCCTCTCGGTCGAATTAACACGACCTGAAATCTTCATCAAAGTTCACTGATTAAATGAATAGTGATCGCAGACTAAGAAAAAAGATGTATGGAATCGGTGGTGAGGCTTGCGTTTTCTCTAAATAAACCGCTTAGATCAGTGGAAATATGTGAACGCTTTTATCACAATCATTGATAACTTTCTGCAGTTTGTTGTTTGCTAGTTCTTTATGCATTCACCATTTTTTCGCAGATAGGTGTTAGTATATACACTCGAGCACGATATCTATCAGAAAGAGGAAAATCTTCAGGACTTTCAAAGAACATTGGTTTCTCGGCCGTATGAGAAGATTGGATGGAGCACGAACACTTCAATGACGCCTGCTCAGAAAGACTTACAGGTACAATACTTTTACAATGTTCACCATTCTTGCAGCGACCTTTGATGTTTACTGAAGAACTAAACTTTCTCTTTATAGGCGACATTGATCAGAAATGCTTGTCGCCTAAGAAATCGGGATTGTATTAAGCAAGCTCATCTTCGATATAAAGAATGGATCATGAAGGACAAGAAGTGATCATTTTGTGTTGGGAATAACTTAAAGTAGAAATAACCTTTTTCTTTACCAATAATGGTACAAATATCAGTATAATCGTCGTTTACTAGTGTGTTACTATATTGACATGATTTGTTTCACTGGATTTGCTGCTAATTTTACAAAATTTTCTCTTGCCAGTGGGAGAGCGTATTTAGCCCAGCTGTGTATTTGAGAGAGGTACCACCTTGGAACTCGGTTCTTCAAAGACCACGGCGATTTCTATCGCTTATTTCCTCATGTAGATTTAGCTGATTTTTTAAATTGGAGATGTCGATGATCTCAGTCTGGGTGTTGTTGCTGCGAATGTGAACCACTCTTCTGCTCTGATTGCATTTCGTTACCTCGGGGTCTGTTAATACCTCTGTGATTTGGTTGTTTTTAGGCCATCACTCGAACTTTTTATGCTCATTTTGAGTGAAGGTGTTCGTCAAGGGGGTCGCCAAGCATGGGATAGCGCTTACGCAACCTTTCTGGAAAGTAAGGAGCAAGATAAGCGAGTACTTACTGCTATGGCATCAACCACACGATTGACACTTATTTCTCGGTGAGGTATTTTAGCATTCTAGATTTCTCAGAAATCGAGTGACTTTTAACACTTCGCATTTTTTTGAACAATTTTTACATGTTTGTTCTTGTCTCTTATGAGTTGTATAAGGGCGCGTGTGGAACAGTGGTCGGAAGCGCTCTGCAATACATATGGAATCGATCCCCTCGCCCATGGCCCACCAAGCCCTTTATCCCTCCGGGGTCGGCAATTGGTACCAGACTTGTCTGGGAGGATAACCTGCATTGGCTCGATACATCAATAGACCACTGCGAGTCATTGTAGAGGCCAGATATGCATTCAATCACCTCCCAACGGTGCTTGATGATGTAGAATGCATGGCGCATCCCTTAGGGATAGGTCAACCCCGAGAGCTTTACCTTCTTTTATCAATTGTGTATTTCTGATTACGAATTAGATTTATCAGCAATTTTGAAAAAATCTTACACTTTTAGTTATTCATACATTCAGCAGCTACAAAAAATACCTGTTTCTGCATCTCGGTTATCTTCGATTTGGTAGCACATCTTCTCGGGAAGTAAAAGAACACCTGCACACATTCATCACTGGTCGTCTCGTTGATCGTCGAATGATTCGAAAGAGCTCCAATAAACCATCTATTTCTCCCCGTGCGTGCGTGAGAGAAGCCTGTTGGATCTTTCTCGCTCTAGAGACTTGTTGAGCATTATATCTTCTTTATAGTTCTTCGTAAAGAACTCTAACCACTGAATCGGGGGTTCTGTGCGTTTGACATTCCGAGGAATCCAGTCTCTGACGGTCGTTGTCCATCGGTTGTCGTTCATACGCATCATGAGTCCGGCTCACCTTATTGTCGACATTCGGCGTGTACAACAGCGTCTTCGTTTTTTGATCGTTAACATAAGTTGGAGCTCGTGAGGTGGGCACTCCTAGTGTCTTCATTTCGACTGTGCATTCTATGACATTGTGTAGCTTTGCATCCTGCCTACGTGTCGACCAGGTTACTGAGGCATACGTTAAGGCAGGAACTACCGCGGGGTGAAAACGAGGGTATGAAGTCCGTTGTACTTTGACGTCAACGCCATATCCTCAATGCTCTTGAAAACTCCTCAAATCGTTTGCTTCATCTAGCCCAACTATGGAGTTAAATAGCTCATTATTTTGACTTCATTACCGAGATATACATCCTGGGTCATTTGAAGATGTTCAATCCTTTGACCGTTAATGGGTCTTAAGGATCCGCTCCTCACGAACATTGTTTTCGTGGGGTTTAATCGAAGAACAGTTTTTCCACAAGAGCTGCCAAAGTAAACAAGCGTTGGCTTAGGCCCCATAATACTTTATGTTATAGCAACGATATCTTCAGAAAGACAAAGATGATGTAATTCCCTACCAATAACTTCCAATCCTATGCTACTCCATTCTGTCATGACGTTATCGAGGGTAGCTCTGAATAATTTTCTCGAGATCGTATCCTCTTGCAGAACCTCTCTTTTTACCCTGAAGTTGATATCCTTATATAATGGCGACATTCTGATCGTGAAATTCTTATATAGCTCGGAAAAAATAAAGAACAGGGACTCCCTGACTCTCCAGTGGTCCCATGATTGCTTCTGAATTAACTGAGTCGGTAGGTTCAATTTAAGTCGATGAAGGTGAGACAGAGCGGTGTATTGCAATCTTCGGATACGTCAGTGAATTCCTTTATCGTGTGGTTTCGGTCCATCGTATTTAATGTTCTTCTGTTCCCTGTTTGCTCACATGGCTGTTCCCTTGTCGAGTGCGCTTTCAGTCATGTTTAGGATGAACCACTCAAGTAGAGGGTTTATAGACGAAAGATAATAAGTGATTAAGCGATAGCTGCCGATATGGTAGGGGTTACCATTTTGTTGAACAGTAACACAGTTTTCCTGTTTTTTCGCTGAACGGGAACCTTGCATTCTGACTGGTGTGTGAACAGTCGAGCCAGTGTGTTGATGAGAACTAGTGAAGGTTCTTCAGGCGTTCAGCTCTTGTCCTGTCTCGAACATTCGCTATCCGCTCCTTCACCGGCGAAATATCCTGTCGTTTTTCCGAATGAATAACCAGTAGGGCGGCGTATCCCTTCTCCCTTATTTCACTTGCGAGCAGGAAACACGTGGCTATTGAAAAGATCCGAGTAGAAATCGTAAACGATTTTCTCCGATTTCTTTCCGAAATCTGTGCGTCTTAGTGTTGAGATGCAATCTTCTTGGCCTTGTAATTGGTGAAGCATCTGCGGGGTTGGCGAATGCTCTTTTCATCTCTTGCAGCTTTGTCTACAGCTACTTTTGTTTTTTTTTCAATATCCTTTCTATCGCCTTTCTGCTGTGTTTTGCAAGTTTGCAAATGAGCTGGTGGTTGACGATATCGTACGGCATTTCTCGCTGATGTCATGAATAATGTTTTTTTTTTGAAGAGCCAACTAATAATCTGGGTAAATCCCGTTCTATGGCTATTTTGGAGTTTCGTTTTTTAAACTTAGCTGTTTTTTCCTCCATTCCGGGGAGATGAAATCTTGCTGGTAGAGAGCGATAGTCGGAAATCGTGCAAAGTTCTGGGACAGCAGAGAGATCAGTTAGGCAAGACCTTAGATTTTACAATGGTATGGTCTATTTCATTATGATACTCTTCATTAGGAGACTCCCACATCCACCGCTGAGAATGGGGATTTTGGAATTGCCAGTTACCACGAATGGTCTTGGTCGTCATAATAAACTAAGACAGCCACTCAACCTCGTTTTATTCTTAACCGTGGGTTTCAATCTAACATTCTTCAGACGTTTTTCTCGGTCCAGTCTTTGCGTTAAAATTTCCGATGACGCCCTTAAAGACTATGGATTTTTTTGTAGACCCTTTTCAAGCCCATATAAAACGATTTGACTTGGCCTTCGTCAGCTTAATGTCGGTGCGCAGATGACGAAGATTGTCATAACCGGTATTGATCCATATCTCTTCAACCGAACGATTGGAGTTGCCAGTTTTTCGAATGAGGCGATCTTCATGGCCAAATTCGTGTTGACGAGAATCGCGACGCTGCACTCTTCTACTGCAGCATGTACCGAGGAAGAGCTCTTCTCCGGTGTCATAGACGACGTTGAATGGGCGATGTCTTCCCGTCTCAGTGGGTCCGATGACGTCGTGCCGTATCCTTCTTGCGTTCATGATCAGGTCCTCTGTTGAAGATTAGATGCAAGTATGCAAACATTGTAGGTACAGGTCATCACCCTCGCTGCTTCCTATTTAGCTAACCTAGGATGGCCCCGAAATTTTAGTAACGTCTACGCACTCATCCTGCTCAGTGCTGCCGTAATGGTGCTCTTTCTGAGTCAGGGGTAATGAGGGTCCTTTATTTTACTGCGTTTACCGTTTGATACCAACGTATAGCTTGCTGAATTTTGAAAGCGGGGTCCGGGTATAATCATGGTCAGCTTGCGAGTCTCCTTCAGAGTGTGAGAAGAGCTTATTCTTTGGAAGCGACTCTTAACTGCATTCCTTTCCCACTCACCTGACCTCATCCTATTGCCGAGTAAATTCACAGAATACAAGGCGCATGAACAAGAACACACTCATGCATGCATTCGTGAATATGTTCTCGTAAGCACGGGAAGTGTGTACTACATCGGCACAGCAGAAACCGAGATTCCACCTGTTGTAGCTATCTGCACCTTGAGGAAGCATTTGGTCGCTTTCGAAACGCGGCTATCCTTGTATCCACTACGTGGAGACACGTCACTTTACCTCGCGATTTACTGGCAGGAGATCGCTCTGTGAACGAGATCCGTGAACGTGGATCACTTAAAGGAAAAGAGAAATTTTGCTGCGTTTACTATGACTGAAGTGTTCACATGCCTTTTTTAGATTGTTAATATATTTAGGCAGTGCACAATTTATCTCATTTATTCACTTACATCGTACTTATCTTCAAATCTGTTTAGGATACTGCAGCTTTGTCTCGAAGGACCGCCATTTCGACCTTACTTTTCCTATTTGGTTTTAATCGAGTTCTCGAAAAGCAACGCCAACAGAGCGCTTACTTGGCGATTCTTTCGTGTCAACTACAAGGTTTTTCATAAAATGTACGTTAAGAATATGGTTATTAATTCTGTTACAATTTCATTATAAAAGAAAGTTTCTTTCTTTGTATTAGTTAGATCCTAAATGATCTAAACAAGGTAAAAAGCGGTCAAATGACTTATGCAAAACTAACAACACTTTAGCACGTTTGCCTTTCGATTCGAAGGGAAAGCACATTCGACAGAAGTTTTTCTTGTGAATGAGACTAGGAATATCAATCATGATGCAGTCAAAGCTACAGATAAGCTCGGTAACATCACGGATGGCAGCCCAACAACAAAAAGATTAATAACGGTGTAGAAGAAATCCATTGTAGATTGCAACGGTTTTGTTTGTCAACGTTTGCCTTGGAAGTTATCTTCATCAGTGTGAAACGTGGAGTTAGGGATCAGATTTTTATGGCACTGTCCTTCTTTCAGTTCACTTAGAACATTGATATCTTTGGTTTTATCATTTAGTTTTTCCACCACTTATATTTTCTTTATCATTTAGGTTTGCCGGCAATTCTCTTGTTTTAAACTATATCATAGGAGAAATGAACCGGATCGTAAGCACGCAGGAGGATCTGGATGAAGTGAAAGCGTTCCTCAGGGCTGCTCAGGCTTGTCTTTCCATCTTTACTTTCTTATTGTTGTTATTGGCTGCAGCAATGTTATTTCTTGTTGTTAACAATCACAATTATTATTAGCACATCAAAGAAAGAATACATATTATTATTAGCGTTGTTACCATCACAATGCTGAGACATTTGCAAAACTCCGGACCGCAGGTGCTTGCGGTGAAGAAAGAACGCGTTATTCCCCTTTCCGGGGAGTAACGCGTTCACCACCACACCATGCGGGTCCTTCGCTTCGTCTGTCTCTCAGCTAGTTCTATCGATCTTTTGCCATCAGCAATCACCTGTCAACGGGATTGATCTGGGGAGCCCAAATCAACATTGAACCCAGTTAGGCTGAGGCTATAGTTATAATCACAATCTTAACCATTTTATTTACTGCCTATTCTTTTTAACGGCAGAGTCTTTTGCGAAATATAACTATTATAATGCTGAGATATTTGCAAAACTCGAAAAGATCGATAGGACTAGCTGAGAGACAGGTGAAACGAAGGGCATGCATGGTGTGGTGGTGAACGCGTTACACCCTGAAAAGGACAATAACGCGTTCTTTCCCCACCGCAAGCACCTGCGGACCCGAGATTTTGCAAATATATCAGCATTATAATAGTTATATTTCGCAAAACTCCTTGCCGTTAAAAAGAATAGGCAGTAAATAAAATGGTTACCATCATTAATCATTGCCATCAATCATTATTAATCACTTATTATTATATTGTCATTAATTATTTGCTATTTCCCATTATTATAGTAATAATAATATTGGGTGGAAAGCAAGTGATTGTGATGTCAGTCACCACAGGAATGATGCTTGTTCGATTCTGCTTCGGGCAAACAAACCTCTCATTCCTCCGAGGTCGAGAAATTGTCTGGTACCGGACTTGTCTGAGAAAAAAAATCACCCTCCGCAATACCGTTGGAACCCCTCCAACCCGGCTATCTCAGGGTTCTAGGAAAAATGGCTCGCAAACATTCCACAACATTTTTAAGGAAGACAACAATCCTCAAACAGTTGCCGAAACAACACGGGAAATATGCAATGAACCGGGTGGATATTGCATGGAAGAAAACGAATCGAATACAAGAAGTGCTGAAATCCGCACGGCAAAAGCGAAAAAGTATTATGTGCAATAAAATAGGAAAAATTGCTAGTATTGTTATATTTTTGTCACTGTCAATTACTTATCATTACTACTGGGCGCCTGTAGCACAGCGGTCGAAGACGCCTTGCAATATATGGGATCGATTCCGCGTCCCAAGCCCACCAAGCGTTCCATCCCTTCGAAGGCGGCAGATACGTACCAGACTTGTCTAGGAGGATACCAGCGCTGGCTCGACACATCGGTAGTCTACCACGAGTCATTGTACAGGCCAGATATGTATTTACTCACCTCTAACGATGCGTAATTTATTCCAATGCATGGCGCATTCCTCAAGGGTTCATCAACGCCGAAAGCTTTGTTCTTTTACTATTATAATGGTTATTATTATTTTTTGTTATTATCGTTACCTTTGCATGCAGCATTTTCCAAGAAATTAATGTTTTGCATATTTGAACACCGTCCCTTATTTGTGATTGCATAGACACGCAAGCAATGGCATACTAAGTAATTCTGACCTTTAGGTAACGGCAAGGATTAGACGAATAGATAAATCTATCGATATCGATGAAGAAACGCTTTGAGTAGGCATTTGTCCATAACATTCTTCATTTCGCGAAAATCATGCAACTGAGGAACGTGCCAAACATGAGGTCCTCGCCTCGTCACCTCATTGGTCCCTCACAATTTTGCCTATTTTGATTAGAAATTGCGAACTGCGACGCTCCAAATAGGCGAATAACCAACCGTACAACTTACTATTCAACTAGTTAACTGTCGCCTGAGCAGCACAACTAGTGCCGCCTGAGTTCACAGCGTCTGAGACTATTTCACATTAGTTCTTTAACTCGTTGATGAAACAGTTCTAACCTATGCCTATTTTAGTTGAAGGATAGCAAAGGTACCTTGAATCCAGTGTTCCGTCAGATTGAACTCAATATTAACTGGAGGCGGCTGCACGAAGAGTCGTTGCGTCAATGGCTTCATGACTGGGATAAGAGTCGACGACGAAAACTTCATCATTGACAAAAATGGATGTCTCTGTACACTCCATATTTTCGATTCCTCAATAGTTTTCAGGTCACGAGAAATCAATGATATTGCATTGAATTTGTTATCATTTCACGAAACCATGTATACGTCATCTCAATGTGCTCGGTGCTAAGGTGTGCAGTCATTATTTAACCGGCAAATTCTACGTTTTCGCTGATGACAGGCTTACCGGAACGTGATACTTTCTCTTTTCTGCCATCTCAAACCCTCGCTTTATGACGACAAAATTAGTTTGGCGCCAATTGTGAGCACATCGTTGCTTGTGTCAACCCATCACTTTGGTAAATTAAGCTTACATTTCTTCTCGCTTTATGTGTTACTCTAGGGGTGCACGTAAAAGTTTGTAAGTGTAAATGTTTTTGCATGTATACATAAACATGTGCATGCGTGTTGGTGCACCGGATGGAAATATAGGTGTTAAAAAATGGTGGATATCTGTATAATAACAAGAACTCTTGCACAGTTTCTTGAACCTAGCTGACATTAACCACCTTGACATCTAGTTTGGCCTGATAGGACAAAACAGTGATGAGTCAGTAGTGGCGGACAATCTCAGCTCCGAACATTTCAGTTCCGTCTCGGTTCCGGACATGACGAAAAAAAACACATTCTATTTAACTGATATAGTGGTGGTTGGGCCCAGTTTTCGAATAAACTCTGCAACTCACCATGCCATGAACTCTCCACGTCGTCGTAGCATAATGGTGCCCCATTACAGTTTCATCGGATGCTTGATGCCAAGTAAACAGAGCTATTCCGAGACGATAGCGATTCTTGCGCCAATTCGAATGGTTGAAGATAGTGTAACAGACAGTGTCGACCTCAGTTGTTGCCACCTGCTCGCCACTAGCAAACCGAGTTGTGAAGAAATAAACGGTAGCGCTTTAATGAAGTAGAAGTATTCAGAAACATTGTTTGACCGAGACGATCTGAGATCGTTTAAGAATCAGCATTGGCCTTATTCGTTCCTTATTTCACAATCCACTAAAGTGGTGCACAAGACATATTTTGTTAATAGGTCTATTTATTGTATGCTAGCTCATTTTCCTTCTGATTTTATCAAAAGGTGTGTGTAGCGCAGTGGTAAGGGGCGCCAATACACGTGGGATCGATCCCGTGCACATTCACCCGTCAAGCCTTCCATCCCTATTTGGTCGGAAAATTGGCACCAGACTTCTTTAGCAAGATAGCAGCGCTAACTCGGTATATCGGGTGAGCCACCACGATTCATTGTATACGTCAGATATGCATTCGGCCACCTCTGACGATGTGTGATGAAGTCGATTGCGTGGCGTATCCCTTAGATATTAATCAATGCC